CTAAGGTGGGACTAGAACTCACTGACTCCTAGTGGCTCAAAAGTCACCTAGTCAGCATTCCTGTCTAACATGATACGTTATCTCTTGTTCTATGTCCGGATACCTAGCTGCATTTTTAGTTACTGCATTGAGATTAATTAAATCCTGCCGAAAATTCATGCCGAGTGGGACAAGCTTTCTAAATCTGAATTATAAACATTTTTTTTAAAAAAACAAACAGCTGAGACACCTCATAGGGGAAGTGCTTCATCCCATTCAGAGGCGGGTTTTACATAATTTTACCACCGGTTCACCGCACACGATTCACCCGAACCGGTCCAAACCGGCTGAATTGATCCCATTAATAATTTTCGTGATTCTTTTTTTGCTACTTTTTCATCTCCGCAAGGGCTGCGTGTAGCTTTGTGGCCAATACCTGATGGTCTGCCTTTACCGTTATTGCGTGGGAATTTCGTGGCCGTTTTTGGCAGTGATTTAAGGGCACAACCCAGGGGTGAAATGCTCCCGGTTCGAACCGAATCGTCTGATCCGGTAGCTATGGCAGTGAGTGGTTCGGAGAACCAGTAGCAAAAATCCCTGCCCCCCCTCCATGCCCAGCTGAGCTGCACAATCATCAGAGGCGTTTTAAATTTATTTTTAAAAGCATTTTTTTCTACAACCTCTTTGGCCAAAAAAAAAAAAAATGCTTTTAAAAGTAAAAAAAAAGCCTCTGATGATCGCGCGGCTCAGCTGGGATCGTCAGAGGCTTTTAAAAGCTTTTTTTTAAAGAACCTCTTCGACCGAAGAGGTTGTAGAAAAAATGGTTTTAAAAGTTAAAAAAAAAATGGCCACGCCCACTCAGTCACATTACCTCCACCAAGCCACACCCACAGAACCGTTAGTAACAAATTTGACATTTTACCATTGGCCCAACCTCTGCTTTTCTACAGTAGATATCTCTGCAGCTGGATCCCATGCGGTTGGGAATGATGGGAGTTGCGATCTGGGGCACCTGGAGGATGTCTAGTTGTGCCATCGCTTCACGGACAAACCTTTGCCGTATTTGAGAAATATTCATAAATGTTCAATCTTGCACTATAATAATACATTGGTTATATTTTAAAATGGTTTAATTCTCTGCTTTGAAAGTTCCCTTTTCAAACAGAATTTTTTAAATGCAAAAATGGTTAACGCCTGCCCTCTGGTGTTCACATCTATAAGAGAAAAAATCAGAATATGCTCATTTCTGGATGTTTTTTTTCCCTAAAGGAACACGCATTCTAGGGCTATTCGATCTAAGCTGCAAATGCAGATAGTCCTCAATTTACGACTACAATTGAGCCCGAAATGTACGTTGTTATGTGAGACCATTGTTAAGTGAGTTTTGCCCCCATTTCATGACATTTTTGCCATGATTTGTTAAGGGAATCACTGCAGTTGTTTAAAGCGAGTAACGCGGTCGTTAAGCGAATCTGTACTCCCCATTGACTCTGCTTGTCAGAAGGTCGCAAAACCACCTGGGACACTGCCACCGTCATAAGTATGAGTCAGCAGTCAAGCGGCTGAGTTCTGATCATGTGACTGTGGGGATGCTGCAACGGTCGTGAGTGGGGGGAAAAAAAGTCATAAGTCACTTTTTCCAGTGATGTTGTGACTTGGAGCAGTCACTAAATGAACTGCTGTAAGTCCAGGACTGCTTGTAAAGAGACTAGAGCAGTGATGGCTAACCTTTTTGCCATTGCGTGCCAAAAGGGGGGTCACACGGGGGGCCTTTCTTGGAGCCTGGGGAGAGTGAAAAACGGGCCTTCCAGTCCCACCAGAAGTCAGCAAATGGGCCGTTTCTGGCCTCCAGAGGGCCTCCAGGGTGGTGGGGAAGGCTGTTTTTGCCCTCCCCAGGCGCCTAGAAAGCCTCTGGAGCCTTGGGAAAGTGAAAAATGGGCCTCCCCCACCAGAGGGCCTCTGGAGGCCGGAAAAAGACTGTTTCCCGATTTCCGGTGGGCCAGGAAGGCCCGAAAATCAGCTGGCTGGCACGTGCATGCTCACCGTAGCTGAGCGAGGGCAACGCTTGCGTGCCCACCACTATGGCACGCGTGCCACCTGTGTCATGCGTGCCATAGTTTTGCCATCACGGGACTAGAGAAATGGAAAACTTTAAACTTTTAACCTTGCGCCCTCTAGTGGCCCCATGGATGTTTGCAGCCCAATCTGGTGGCTGCATCATTTTCATGCCATGGTTTACGTTCGATTGATTATTTATCATTAAGTTGGTGTCAAAATTTAATGACCGTCCGGAGAAATTTTCTCCAGAAAGGATTACAAAAATTATGTTCAAAAGACTGTGCAATTGGCTGGGACCTTATCCTTACAGGGTTTGTGATGCGAAAATAAATTTAATCCCCTTTAACTCCCAATTAGTAGCAGAGAAAATAATATGATGTGCAAAGTTGTCAGCTAGGCGTAAGAGAAAAAGTCTGTTAAAATAAACGATGATAAATAAAACCTACTTTGGTTGATTTTTTTTTAAAAAATCATAAAATCTAAAACGAGAGGTAAAATAGCCACCGAGTTGGACTCGCACAATATCCTAGACTGGACAAGAAGAGAGTTGGGTTATATGCAAAGCACAACTCGCATCCCAGGTTGTCCTAGTGATGAAGGCACCAGTCAGAGGTTGTGAGTTTTAGTTCCACCTTAGGCATGAATGCTGATGGGGTTACTTTGGGCCAATCACCAGGAGAGGGTGAATCCTAGTCCCGCCTCGGCATGAGAGCCAGTTGGGTGGCCCAATCACCAGGCATGAAAGTTGCCTGTGTAACTTTGAGCCAATCACCAGGAGAGGGTGAATTCTAGTCCCTCTGTCAACTTGCAAAGCTTTCAAGTTGCCATGAGCAGGAGGGAGGGAGAACTGAAATGAATTCCATACATTCTTTCTGACCGCAATCAGAAGGAGGGTGTTAGGTTTCACAGCCAGCCAAAGTGGTTAATTGGAGAATGTGATTTATGACATGGCAAGGGAGGAGGGGAGAGACAGGGTCATAGGGGAACGTAAATCTATGTGGGATCAGTCCTAACTGCATCCGAGTATTGCTGGAATGTTGCTCCTAATAAATGACGGTATTTCCTTTGAAGTTTGGATCATGGCTCATGAATTAATTAGGGCATCTTTCGGAAACTTGACATCCTCCTTGGCACGAGAGCCAGCTGGGTGGCCCAATCACCAGTCATGAAAGTCACCTGAGTCACTTTGAGCCCAATCACCAGGAGACGGTGAATTCTAGTCCCACTTCAGCATGAGAGCAAGCTGGGTAGCCCAATTACCAGGCGCTCCATTTTCACTGGCAGAGAGTTGCAGGAAGCTGTTACAGCCGAAAACGGAACTCGGGACCCCGTTTTTGCTGGCAGAGCACTTGGGCCACCACAGGAGCCCCCGACACAAGTGACTTCAAGCTGGCCATGCCCACCCCAACCACGTCCACCCCCACCGAGGTCAAACACAACCCTAATGCAGCCCTCAATGAAATTGAGCTTGATACCCCTGCTCTACATCTAATGGAATCATATAGAGTTGAAAGGGACTTCAAAGATCATCAGGTCCAACCAGGGGTGAAATCCTACCGGTTCGGACCGGTTTGGGTGAACTGCTAGGGATTATGAGCATCAGTTCGTCGAACCGGTAGTAATTACCCCTCCTTGGCCCCACCCACGCCCGGCCGGTCACCGCTCACCTTTTCCGGCTGCTCGATGTTCCACAGAATTCAATGTTAAATGCAGCAGAGAGAATGCTAACTTTTCTCCCTCCATTCAGAAGGGAGCTGCTGCAGCCTTTCTGTGACTGGATGGTGGGGAATGGAAGGATTTATATATATTCCTTGCAGACAGCTGGTCACTTGCATCCTTTTAGAGGGTCGTTGAAGCACTTGGAGGTTTATCTGTGTCCTCGAGGTCACCGGAGTACTGCAAATGGTTCCTGTAGTCTGCAATTTTCTCTCTGGAAATCCATTCCTATTCCTATATCTGTTGTGGTCCGCCAGCAGCCTGCGGAGCTGGCAGCGGAGTCGGACAGTGAGGAGGCTGGGGAGGAACATGGGCCAGTCCTGGAGTCTGGGGAAGGCTCGGACAAGGGCTCTGCGTCGGAGGCAGAGCAAGGGCCAGGGCCATCTGGGAGTGATGCGCGGACTCTGGAGCCTCCAGATTCGACATCAGAGAGGGAGAGGAACAGGACGAGCCTGTTCCTAGTGCACGCATGCACAGAGCTGCCAGAAGGCAAGAACGGTTAAAACAAAAGGGACGACTCAGGAGTAAGGCCTGGAGATGATTGGCCCCTCCCATAAGGCTTAAAAGAGGAGCAAAGGCACGTGGGCCCTTTGCAGGAAAGCAACGTTGTTAATTCTGTTCCCAGTCGGCATCTCTGTTTGATTCTGGACTCCGTGTGGCTTTGCCAAGTAGGTCTTTGGCAGCGTGTCAAGGGAGATGAAGGTTGGTGATTATCCCGAAGGACTTTTTGCAACGAATTGGGACTCAGCTGTGAATGAACGTAATTCACAGCTGTTACAATAAAGAAGGTTTTTGGGACTACTCGTGCGTTTTAACGACTCAGGAAGCTGAGGCCACAACACCACCATTCAAAGGGGGCTCATCCCAAATTGTACAGCTAAAAGTCTGTAGAGATTCTCGGTCATCCAAGGTCACGATTATCCCAAAGGTGTTTTTTTCAGGAGGCAACTGGTTCTTTGTTTTTTTTTCTTTTGAAGACGTTTCGCTTCTCATCCAAGAAGCTTCTTCAGCTCTGACAGGATAGCAGGGAATGGAAGCGAAACGTCTTCAAAAGAAAACAAAACAAAACAAAATACCAGAAAGTCCAGTTGCCTGCTGAAAAAACACCGTTGACCTGGATGACTGAGAATCTACGCAGAACTTTCCCTCCCCCAAAAAAGAAACGACACAATTTTTGAAAAAAATTCATTTCCCGCGGGTCTTAAGTGCGAGCGTCAACAAAGGAAAAAGCCACGCCGTGTCAGAAATCAACACCCCGAAGGAAAAATTGTGCATGTATTTGGTACAAAGAAACAGAAGATATAACGTTACATTCTGTTTGGGGGAAAAAAGTCGAGAGGAATTTCATCCATCGTTTCCCGCTCCTTCCCACCCGCGAATAAATACACTTGCAGATTTTAAAGAGGAAGGGAGCCAAAGAACCGGGCGTTAGAATAGCCAAAGATCTTTGTTCAACGAAATGCACACCTATGTACACAGTTGGTTTTTTTTTGTAAACAATAAAATAGAAAGGTTTAGAAAACATCTGTCCGACACAAAAGCAGAGGACGTCTTCGCTTTTTCCGTTGGGTCGGCGATGGCGAATTTTTAGCCCGATGTATGAAGTTCGGACAAGCCCACAATTTTAGAATGACATATTATACTTATGAAAAAATCAAGCGTCCGTTTTTTTCTCTCGAATGCCACGTCTCTTCTTTCCGTCCCCTCACTTCTGCATTCTTGTACTTGAAAATCAACCTCTACGGATAGTCCTCGACGTACAACAATTCATTTAGTGACCGTTCAGAGTTACAACGGTGTTTTTGAGTCAATCTTGGCGACTTCTAAGATGGCCGGACTTCAACTCCCAGAATTTCCCTAGTCCGCCCATCTTTAAAGTTACCAAAATTGGGGAAAAAAACCCCAAACAAACCCTGATTTAGAAGATGGCAGAAGGAGGGTTTTTCTGAAAGGGCTGCATAAAATTCGACAAAGTTAGAAATAATTCTTTGTGACATGGCAGGTAGTCCTCGACTTACAACAGCTTGTTTAGTGACCAAAGTTACAACAGCCCCGAAAAAAGTGAGCTTGGACCATTTTTCAGACTTACGACCGTTGTAAGCCTCCCCGTGATCATGCGAGCAGAATTCAGACCCTTGGCCACCGGTTCGTATTTATGACAGTCGCAATGTCCCAAGGTTGTGTGATCCCCTTTTGTGACGTCCTGACAAGCAAAGTCCATGAGGAAGCCAGATTCACTTAACAACCGTGTCATTAACTTAACACCTGCAGTAAATTCACTTAACGACTGTGGTAAGAATGATCGTGAAATGAGTCAAAATTCACTTTAAAAATGTTTCACTTAGCAACAGATATTTTGGGCTCAATTGTGGTCGTAAGTTGAGGACTACCTGCATTATTGCCCATTATTGGCCCTCCTGTTAGGCAGTGAGGAGGTAGCCCAGTCGCACCTCACATCTGGCCTGAAAGATATGCAACTGATTTATGAGTTGTTGAATTCCGAATCATGAATTTTGTCCAGAATGGTACAGAGTCCCATGCTTGAGCAAGGGGTTGGACTAGAAGACCTCCGAGGTCCCTTCCGATTCTGTTATTCTGCATTTATTTTTATTCTGTGGGATAGTTAGGATTAGGAACCCTTGTGCCAAATCACTTGGCAAAATGCAATGTCCACGGAGTTGAGTGAGTTCCCTGTTCTAGTACAAGTGGAATATTTTGGGGACAATTATTTTGGGCTAACTCGGAGCTGACAGTTCCAGGACATGTAGTACTTGAAAGAAAATAGAAATAACTACTCCAGTAAGTTATTAATTTGGCTTCCACCATCCATGACTGTGCTGCAGATTCTGGCTTGCAGTTTTGTCTTTTTTTCCCCCCAATTAACTTAATGCATCGGATGAACTCAGTTGTGACCTATGAAGTCAACAACAAAGAGGAACTATTTTGTTGTTGGTTTTTGTTCCCCTGATGCTGTGATTTTCAACCTTGAAGATGTGAGGACTTCAACTCCCAGAATTCCTCAGTCAGCATGCTGGCTGAGGAATTCTGGGAGTTGAAGTCCAGAAATCTTAGCATGGCCAAACATTGACCTAATGGGAAGGAAAAGACGTGTAGACTTCAACTCCTAGAATTCCCCAGCCAGCATGTTGACTGAGGTGTTCTGGGAGTTGAAGTCCAGAAATCTTAGCATGACCAACTTGGGCATCCTCCTGGATACACAGCTGTCCTTGGAGGAACATCTGATGGCTGTGGCCAGGGGGACTTTTTATAAGGTTCGCCTGATCCGCCAGTTGCGGCCCTTCCTAGATTGGGATTCCTTGTGCACAGTCACTCATGCCCTCATCACCTCTCGCCTGGACTACGGCAACGCTCTCTACATGGGGCTCCCCTTGAAGAGCACCCGGAGACTTCAGCTGGTCCAGAATGCGGCCGCGCAGGTAGTGACGGGAACTGCATGGTGCTCCCACATAACACCTCTCCTGGGTGAGCTGCACTGGCTCCCAGTGGTCTTCCGGGTGCGCTTCAAGGTGTTGGTTATCACCTTTAAAGCGCTCCATGGCATAGGACCTGGATACCTTCGAGACCGCCTGCTGCCACCACCGACTGGTGCGCTCCCACAGAGAGGGCCTCCTCAGGGTGCCATCGGCCAAGCAATGTAGACTGGTGGCCCCCAGGGGAAGGGCCTTCTTTGTGGGGGCACCTGCTCTCTGGAATCAACTGCCTCCAGAGATACGAAGAATTCAAGACCTCGGTGCCTTCCGCCGTGCCCTGAAGACCTTCCTCAATTTTCTTTCAGCTGATTTGAATGCCGGGGGGATGGAAACTGCTAAGACAGCCATCATATTTTGCATTTTGCCACCTCAAGAGAGGCCAGGCAGCCCCGTTTGGGAAAAAACACCCAAAGACAGGAATTTCCTTTTGATTTTTTTTTTTTAAAATGAGATTTTCAAGGAAGGGGAAAATGCAACCAGGGACCCCCTCAGACCTCTCAGCCTGGAAAACGATGAACCAAAACAATCTTTTCCATCAAAAGACAGTAAAAAAAAACAGAGGGAAACAAGATTTTTGTTGTTGTTGAAAGAATCAAAATGTTTGACATAGCATAACGCTGATTACACAACTGAAAAACCTGCACAACATTTTCGAAGGAATATTCTGAGACCAAGAAACTCAAAACCTAGGTTGTAAGGCTCACTTACAACCGCTTGCAACTGTCCCCGACCCATAAAGCATTTGTTTAGTGACCGTTCAAAGTTACAACAGCCCTGGACAAATGATTTACGGCCGTTTTTCAAACTTATGACCATTGCCGTATCACCGTGGTCAGGCAATCAAAGATTCGGAAGCTGGGCAACTGTTCAGGGAGTTCGTGCCAGGTTTTACAGCCTTAACTTAACAACTTAACAACTTAACAGTGATTCACTTAGTAACTGTGGCAAGAAAGGTTGTAAAATGGGGCAGAATTCACTGAACAACGGCTTCACTTAGCAACCGAAATTTGGGGCTCAATTGTGGCCGTAAGTTGAGGACAAGCTGTGTTTATCCTTCTCAACATCGTGGCCATCTGACTTTCTTTAGGTAACAAACTCAGTTTCCAACCAGGGTTATGATGTACTTGCTCTTTACTCATCGGAGACCAGGGTATGCATACCAATCAAAGAGAATATTTGTAGTTGAGGGTTGAATTGTGGGGTCCTTGGTGCTCTCTGAACTTGGTGGTTTCCTTGCAGACGTTTTATGACCCAACTAGGTGACACCATCAATGCTAGAAAGGAGAGGGGTTGTATGTATAAAAACAGAGAGAAAACCCAACCCCCTTCCAGCACTGATGATGCTACCTAGTTGGGTCATGAAACGTCTTGCAAGGAAACCACCCAGCTCGGAGACCGCCAAGACCCCGACAAAGGTGCGTGTTGTGTGTCAAATGGAAAATGGTGTCTTCTGTATGCAAAACATGGATTTCTACAGGGGTGGACTGCTGGGGGTTCGCAAGCGTTCGGGAGAACCTCTAGCTAAGATTCTGCGCAGTTCGGAGAACCCCCAAATCCCACTCCTGGCTGGCCCTGCCCACCCCTCACCTCTCAGGAGTCCCCACGCATCCCGTTTTGGATGCAGGTAAGTGCAGGGCGCGCACGGAGGCTCGGGGAGAGTGAAAAACGGGCCTACCGGAAGTTCGGGCCAGTTTCCGGCCTCCAGAGAGTCTTCGGAGCTTGGGGAGGCTGTTTTCGCCATCCCGGAGGCTTGAGGAAAGCCTCCGGAGCCTGGGGAGGGCCAAAGTACCACCTCCCCACTATGGTGCAGGAGGCCAACTAGGCCACGCCCACCCAGCAACAGGGCAGAGAACCCCTTGCTAAAATTTTTGAAGCCCACCCCTGGATTTCTACCAACGGGGTGTGATTACCTTGGTTAGTCTATCTGTCTCACTCACGGAGTGCACCAGCCTTTGTCAACCAAACACTTATAAGATGGAGACAAACCAAACGGGACCCAGAAAAGAACCCCGAACGGTCCCCATTAACGTCAAATATCCGTTTCTTTAAGCCCGCAAGATTCAGAGTCCGTCAGATTATCGTACATTTGATAGTCGATGCATTCCAAGAAGTCATTGGGGATGCCAATGGAAACCGACTCCACCTCTGTTTTGAAGGAGGCCGCCATGCCGCCCCGGAGGGAGCTCCCACGCATCTTGTGGGAGAGGCTGTTCATCGTCTCCTTCAGCTGGATGCTGGGTTTGTGGAAGGGAGAAAATATCCTCCATCTCTTGAAGTTCAGAGTCCTTCTCTTGCTCGATCGTTCCAAGCTGCTGGAGTTCAATATGAAGGAGCCGCCGTTGAGTGTGGAGATCCGGGAACGGGGCTCCCTCTCCGAGTCCCGTCTGGAGCCGTTGATGGAGGCCGCTCGCCAAGGGTTCTCATAAACCCTCCAGATAGGCCTCCGACGACATTGGCACTTGAGCAGGCGGATGAAAGCTCGTTTGAACTCTTTGCTGGAGCAGGGGTAGATGATGGGGTTCACGCAGCTGTTGAAGTAGCCGAGCCAGAAGATAATCTTGAAGGCCATTTCTGAGGGCTTCAGGGAAGGGAAGAAGGAACCTGAAGAAAAAAAAAAAAGATGGAAGAAGACTTGAGAAGGTGAAAGGGTCTTGCTAGGACAAAGCAGGAGCTCCATATCTTTCATGAAGAGGAGCTGGGGTTGAGGGCTGACCCTTCTGTGGGAGGTTTTGTTATCAAAATATATTTTATTCCTTATGCTCTTCCCATCTCCCTTTAACCCACCATGCACTGAGAAGGAGCATCTGTGCTAGGTAATTGACAGTCAAGCTGAAACTAAATCAAGTCAGGTTCGCCTGATACGCCAGTTGCGCCCCTTTCTGGATCGGGACTCCCTACACACGGTCACTCAAGCACTCGTCACTTCTCGTCTGGACTATTGTAATGCTCTCTACAGGGGCTCCCCTTGGGGTACACCCAGAGGCTCCAACTGGTGCAGAATGCGGCCGCGCGGGGGATTATGGGAGCGACGGGGCGCTCCCATGTGACTCCTCTCCTGCGCAAGCTGCATTGGCTTCCGGTGGACTTCCGGGTGCGCTTCAAGGTGTTGGTGATCACCTTTAAAGCGCTCCATGGCTTAGGGCCGGGGTACTTACGGGACCGCCTTCTGCCACCAATTGCCTCCCACCGGCCAGTTTGCTCCCACAGAGAGGGCCTCCTCAGGGTGCCGTTGGCCAGACAATGCCGGCTGGCGACCCCCAGGGGGAGAGCCTTCTCTGTGGTGGCACCTACCCTCTGGAACAATCTACCCCCAGAGATACGAGTGATCCCAGACCTCTGGACTTTTCGTCGGGCCCTAAAAACCTATTTTTTTCAGTTAGCCGGGCTGTCCTGATTTTACGGCTGGTTTTAAAATTTGATATGGATTTTAATTGAAAAGTTTTAAATTATGGGCCAAATTTATTTAATTATTTTAAATTTATTTTTAACTTTTGTGTATAAATGTTTTTTATTTGGCTGTTCACCGCCCTGACTCCGAAAGGAGAAGGGCAGTATAGAAGTTTGAAAAATAATAAAAGTAAAAATAGCAAACGGGAGAATTTTTTTACTTAAATGTCCTTAGACCCCCAAATAAGTTACCCAGATGCAATCCACATATCAAAGGAGAAGGCCTCTGAACACAAAGAGCTAATTAAAGCAGGCTCCCAGCGGAACTTCATGTTCACAAAAGTAAGCGTTATGGATGATATATACCTACACACACCCATGCCCCTCAATGTTCTGCCCCAGCTACGGACCCCAAAGAACGCAGTGCACACAAAGTCCATACAAACCTTGGTTTACTAATTAAGGACTACTAATGAGCTTTCTTAGTAGTTGTTCGAACACAAGTACAGTTTAAATTGGTCTTTTCTGAACAAGGGCTGTTAATTTAACTTCATGAACAGCCGACAAGAATCCAAAGAATAATAACTCAATTCTGAGGCACATTATATCAGATAACCGTAATGTTACTGTGGTTGCCAGAATGCCCAAAAGCAATTTGCAGGAAAACTGACGAGAGAAACAAGAGCCAAATGAAACATTTCTGGAATCAAGACGCGAAGGAATATGAACGAAATTGTTCCCTGCAAATTGCCTCAGTCATCATCCTTCCTTAAATAGGCTAAGGGAGTGGCCAATTAGCCCCAAGCCTTACTCTCGAGGAGACCTCCTCCTGAGGAACCACTCCTGCCTTTTGGCAGCTCTGTGTGCCCGTGCATCGAGAAGAGGCTCCTCCTCTTCTTCCTCTTCAATTATGGGAGCTTCTGGAGGTTCTGAAGGCCCTGGCTGAATCCCTGCCTCTGGCACCACATCTTCTCCAGCCTCCTCAATGTCTGACTCGAGCGCCAGCTGCACAGGCTGCTGGCAAAGCACCACACCAGCCTCCTCGCTGTCCGAATCAGCTACTAACTTCACAGGCTGCTGACGGGCCACAATACTCAAGTATTTATATTTATTCTTGTGCAATCCCGGTTTGAGTTGGAACCCCAAATTGGAACCCCGAGTTATTCTGACACTACCCGACCACAACGGCAGTGAATTTTCCTACTCAGAAGTTTGTGATCACTGGGACAATATTGTCATGAATATGAATCAGTTGTCAAGCCTCTGAGTTTTGATCATATGGGGATCAAATGGGGAGAGTGCAATGGCTGTAAGTATGAAAAACAGTCACAAGATAGTTTTTTCCCCAGCCCCGTTGTAACTTCGAATAGTCACTAAATGAACCTGATGTGAATAAAGTAGGAATTATAGCAAATAAGAAATAATGTGAATAAAATAGGAATCATACAGAGTCAGATATATGGGCTCTGGGGGACCCTCTCTATTCACATTATTATAAGGGGAAGATGTGTTTAGATACATGAACTCTGAGAGACCCTCTCTATTCACATTATTATAAGAGAGGAAAGTGCTTGTTGGAGATTACATTAACAAACAGTTAAACCCCATTAAGTGGTAATATATCTTCTGAGACCTAGCTGTCACGAAAGGACTGCCATATGGAAAAACATCTGAGTGACCTCACTATGAATGACACAAAGACCTATATGTTACAAAGAGTTACTTAATCCAATAAATTTATCCAAGGACAGTAGTAACTCTCCCATTAGCAACTCCGAGCACTTAAGAAAAGTTGTGTGGCTAAGATAATTTTATAAACTAAAATTAATGCTTTAAGTAATTAGATGAACTTATTATCCAATGTATGTAACCATATAGGGAAAATCGGATGTATGATCTCATGATTAACCATATATGGAAAATGTATGATCTCACTGAATCCTTTGTTTTAGAAATGTATAAAACGGTTGAATCAGAGTTCTCTCCTTGTTCAAAGCTTCAGGTACAAAACTGACTCTGAACCTTGCGCAATAAAACTGTCTCTGGCTGACCTACGAATGTTGCTTGGTCCTTCCATTCCTCAACAAACCTACGGAGAAATTTTCTGACCGTAAGAACAATTAACCCATGGAACAGAAGTTTCCTTCGGAAGTTGTGGGAGCTTCATCACTGAAAGCTTTCAAGAAGAGACTGGACTCTTCTTGAAAGGGAATATATATATTTAATATTACATGTCTTGACAGCAAGCGTGAATTGTATTTGCACAGTATTGGAAAAATGAGCAAACTCCTACGGATGAAAATATCATTAAAAAAAAAAATTAGAATGCGCAGAAATGGATAGGTTGACACTAAAGATAAAGGATAAGGAAGATATATATATATATTAAGAATATTTCTTAACGTGGGATTTGTTTTATCAATGGTTAGACAATAGAGGTAGAAATTAGAAGATGAAAGATCACTACTACTGGTATGTACAAGTAAAGGATGATAGATTATCACTATGTATAAATAAATAACATTATTATTATTATTATTATTATTATTATTATTATTATATTTATTCATTAAATATGAAACTCAGTCAACTGAGCATTCAAAAATGCGTCACAAATACCATTGACTGGTGCTAATGGTTGATACGGGTTGCTGCCAGCGTCCTAGGGATCAACCAAGTACCTTCTTAAGATGTACGATGTTCCGAGTAGCGCAGTTTTTTGCAGTTCCGCCGGTGTTATTGCAGGAACCTGCCATTTCTTGATGTGTTTTGTAAAATTCTTGGACATGGTACCAAGTGCCCTGATGACAATGGGTATCACTGTGACATGTTTCATCCATAGCCGTGTAGTTTGGATGGCCAGGTCGCGATATTTCGTAATTTTTTCCAGTTCTTTTTCTTTGACTCTGGTATCTCCTGGTACCGCGATATCAATAAATTGTACGTTTCGGTTTTCGACAACTGTGATATCTGGCGTGTTGTGTTCCAAGTGACGATCCCTCTGTATTCGAAAGTCCCACAAGATCTTCACCTTCTCATTTTCGACAACTTTTTCCACTTTATGTTCCCATGACTTTTTGGGATACAAGAAAGTCGTATTTTTTACATAATGACCAGTGGATTAATTTAGCAACTTGATCGGGTTTAGCTTTGTAATCAGTTTGTGCGATTTTGCTGCATTCACATATTAAATGTGAAACAGTTTCGACTTTGTTGTTGCAAAGTCGGTGGTTTGGATTGTCAGTGGATTTTTGTATCTTTGCTTTCATGGCCTTAGTTTGTAGTGCTTGTTCTTGAGCAGCCAGTATTAAACCTTCCCTTATTTATTTATTTATTGATTGATTGATTGATTGATTGATTGATTGGTTCAATTTATTTGCTGCCCTTCTCCGGAGACTCAGGGCGGCTTACAATGCGTTAAGCAATAGCCTTCATACTTTTGTATATTTTATACAAAGTCAGCTTATTGCCCCCACAATCTGGCTCCTCATTTTACCTACCTTAGAAAGGATGGACGGCTGAGTCAACCTTGAGCCTGGTGAGATTTGAACTTGCAGTAATTGCAGGCAGCTGATGTTACTTAACAGCACTTTAGTCTGCTGCGCCACCAAGGCTCTTGATGGTTCCCATCTTAAGTTGTCATCACATTTTCCTTCAATGTTTTTCAAGTGCTGTCCATGCAAAGCTTTGGTTTTCCATCTATTTAATCTGTCATCCAGCTGTTTTTCCTTATATTCTGCCTTTGTTTCTGTTTTTGTTTCTGTTTCTGTTGTTGTTGCTGTTGTTGTTATTATTATTATTATTATGTAAATTGACCCAGACAATACACTGTTTATTAAGCACTTATGTATACCAAACAAAAACGTATAAAATTTAAAGAAAAAGAAGAGACTGGACTCCCATTTGTCAGAAATGATGTAGGGTCTCCTGCTTCGGCGGGGGGTTGGACTAGATGACCTACAAGGTCCCTTCCAACTCTGTTAATCTGTAACCTTTGTCATTCCAGATTTCTATCCAAAATGTAATGCCGCTCTCTTCCAGCAGGGGGCTCCCATGCCCTGTTCCAAACGAACCGGCCGATTGCCCTGAGGAGTTCTAAAAATAACTTTCTGACTCAGCCCAAATGCCTTTTAATTTTAGATGAATCATGATTCTGCGTGACTCTATTGTGAATTCATATTATGGGTTACAAAGCTGGGGCTAGCAAGGAATCG